TAAGAGGCAATATTTTCTTCCTTAAAATCTTCCCCAAATAGGAAAGATCAACCAATTTTTTGGGGACTGATTTTTAAGAGGTTTGGAGGAGGAGTTGGATGTTGTAAATGGGGTGAGGGGGCATATGCAGAGGATAGGTTGTCCATCTGGTCCTAGATGAAATTTGCCAAATTTTGGAAGAAACAGAGGTTGGCAAATACATGTTTCTCATTCTCTCTACAATTTTGAGACCCCTTGTGTTGACGTGAAGGCTTGAACTAGACCTGAGTGAGAGAGTATACAAGCTCCAGTGGAAAGCATATCTGAGCTCTGTTTCGGTTTTGCACATTTCATGATTTGTTTTCCTGGAATTAGATGCGTTGCCTTAGAGCTCAGGGGAAGGAAGGTCAGTGATGCAATGGTGAGGAGGAGTTACTGGGAAATCAGCAGCTGGTAGCAGGAGGACCACACATGAGGGTTGAACCTGGAGCTTAACTGGGGGAGTCTCAGCTTTGTTTCTGAATGGAAGGATGGCATTCTTTGTGGTCCTAATCTACCCTCCACTCCTTCTGTTGCTTATCTATCAGGCAGGTAAGTGGACATGTTTTTTTGGTCATTTTCAATTCCCTAAATGATTAATAGGATGTTTTAAAAAGAAAGATAGTGAAGAAGATGCCATGTTCACTCAGATTTAACATGGTGAGCTTGTGGGTTTCTGAATATAATTTTGTAATCTGCGTAAAACTTAATGTCAGGATTGATATATATTTAGGTCATATTTAATTAATTAATTAATATCAATATTAATATCATATTTTAATCTATTTTTAGATAATATATATAATTTGTCAATATATTTGATCCATTATATTTAATGGCTAAGTAAACTACCTCAAAAAAGTTTTGAAAAGCCTATGATGGCAAAAGGCCAGAAATTATTGCAACCTGATAGAAACACTTGAGGCTCTCAGATGCTTGAACTATGTGAATGATACTCATAGAATATCATGGATACACTTATTCCCAAATTAGGTTGGCCTAAGTTGTGGTGAATGTGGGAGAAGCAGCTCAGTAAGATGGTTTGGTTGGTAGGAGATCTGTACCAAGAATACAACAAACTGATCTAAAAAATAAAATATGGCAATTATATAGTATGTATGTATGTACATATGTATGTATTAAACATGCTACAAATGGTTGAGGGAAAGCAGACTTTATCTAATCCTTGTAGTGTATGGGAGAAGTTAGATTCAAATCAGCAGTTCATTGATTGATTGATTGATTGATTGATTGATTACACTTCTTCCTTGATGGCTAAATCTAAACTGGCTATTCCATTATCTAGATGCAATGGATGTGTTCAAGGTACGTCCATTCGACAATATTTCTCTGCCCTGCCATTTCTCCTTTGTGGATAGTACAGATGGCTTATCCTTCACCTGGGAGAGGGAAGATATCAAGGAGGAGCATGAAGTAGAAGATAAAGAATTTTACAAATTTTTTGTTGGACTTCATGATTTTTATCAGTTTTATCCCAAGCTGATATATAGCTTTAGCAACAACATGGAACAAGTGGAAGAGCGGAATTCTCTCTATGAAGGCAGGGTCTGGGTAGATGAAGAGGAGATACCTGAGGGCAGCCTGACACTCATCCTGGAGGAAGTTCAGTTTTCTGATGAGGCTCTGTATATATGCAAGGCCACTAATTCACGAGGCAGAGGGTTAAGAAAAATGAAGCTCATTGTGGAAGGTAAGAATGCTTGTCTATTTTCCTGTATTGCCCAGCTGAAAATATCTAATATTTCTGTTTGTACACCAAGGAGGACATTGGTGTATTCACTGCGTGAATACCTTTTATAAATTGATGGGGTTTCTTTTCTTCTGCTATGAACTTCATCTGTTTATTCTACAATAAGCCTGTAGGAGAATGTATTAGTACTTTTCAAACTGAATATAATATTTGCTCTCCCCATGGGTATTTTTTAAATACTTTATTCTGCTTAGAAAACAAATCAAACCACAGATACAGGGTGAGGGATATATGACTTAGCAACAGATAGTAAAATATATAGTAAAAACAATAACAGAATAAAAGACAGTAGTTAAAATTTTAAAATATTACAGCAGAACAAACAAACTTTTTTTTTTAAAAAAAATCTAAGAACAAATCAAGACTCCAACAATAATTTTTGTATATACTGGGTATAACTTGCTTACTGCAAAATTCTTGCAATTCAAAAATCCTTGGTAACATTTAATCTTTGGACAGACAATCAAAATTGGGTCAGAATAGGGTAAGTGATTTTTCAGGTACAGCTTTAGAACATTGGGGCCACCATAAAGAGAGCCTCTCAACACAGGCATTTCACCTTAAGGTCACTGAAAAGGTCACTGACATGAGTGTGTCCTACTTCCAAGTGGTGAGCAGTTTCAAGGGTTCCACTGCTAACCTGGCCTTTGGTGGTTTTTGGAAATAACTCTTTTTATGACTTTGTTTCTATAAAATAGCTGGCTTTTTTAAAAACATATGTACAAAGGCTGAGCTTGATGAAATTCAAAGCATTAACATTTCAAGAT